CCCCCCCCCCCCCTTGTAGTTTTAACCGTCATATTTGTCTGATAAAATGGTGCTTCTTTCTCATGAGCTGTCTTCAAAAGTACAATATAGCATAACTTGACAGAAAGGAAGTGCTACTGCCATAATACATGTTAAAACATGAATAGTACATTTTGCTAAGATCCTAAAGGGACAAGTGTTTTGCTAAAAAAAAATGCAGTAACAGCAATGAAAATCATACTTTATTTAAAAATATAAATGATTTTGTAACCATAATCATATTTTCAGTCCTCAGCATGATTTAGTCCCATGAAGTTTTCTGTCTGTTATTATTTTAGTGTTGTGATGACGGCAGCTCCAATGCCCCAGCACGCCATCCACCACACATGACTATAATCAATCCTTTAGAAAGAAATAAAACAGCACATGGTAAGTGGACAAAACTATATTCTTCTGTTATTACATCATCAAGATTTACATGCTGGCTTCATGCTAAGTTCTGGCTCCGGGGGTGAAGTAGCATAGTGCTATGTAATTTATGCATGACATGTTCATAACGGGTGTGACAAAATATAGTGTCATCCATTTTATCTGGTGCTTAAACCCTTAATCATTGCCAATGAGATTTATACACTTGTGCAAAAAGTCAAATGAACAATTCAAGGAAGGATTGGAAGGAGTTAGGAAATTACATTTAGATCTCTTTTTCACCCTTTAAAAATGCTTTTTAATTATTATTAAAAATATATAGATGAAATATATTTTACAGTATTAGTTTCTTTAAGCACTTGCACTTCATTTTTTTGCCTAAGGACACTTCGGCAAGGTTTCCTGAAGACAATAACTTAATCAGTGCACAGCCTTTGAAATGTCATTAAACTAGCTGTTTCTGGATTCGTTTGTTTCCATCTTGTGGTGTACCTTGTGCTTATTGACGTCTGATGTCTGCTCAAGCTACGCAAGACGCAATGCTATTCAAAGCCACGCATGCACCAGCTACACACAACATAAATGCATTTATGAGAACTGAAAACAGTGTGGTTTTCTGTGAGGTTTGCATCTGTGAAAAAGTACATTATTGTTGTCACTGCTATGTAGCTATACAAAGGAAGTGTGCAGCCATAAGGTGTTTAGCAAAGTTCACAGGAATGTCACGTACCAGTTAGCTTGTAGAAATGCACAAGAAATTAGTGATTACCAATCACAAGCCCAGATCAAAATATCTCAACCTAAAGCGTTAAAGATCACACATTCAATCTGAAAATAGAGCAGAAGTTGACACAGAATAACACACACTGGGTAATGTTCTAAGAGCATCTCTTTTCAGTTCTGCAATTGTACTTTTTTAAAACTGCACTTGCAATATGAACATATAACAGTGCATTGAAATCTGAAGTCACAACTGTGATACAATTAAGTTGCAATTACGAGAAATAAAGTTGCGATTGGGACAGTTTAAATTGCGATTATGAGAAATTAAGAAATTATTGCAAGATAAAATTACAATTATAAGACATTAAGTCACAAGTGAGATATAAATTCACATTTATAAGAAATAGTCATGATTAAAAGAAATAGTCACAATTGTGAGATATGCAGTCACATTTGTGGGATAAAGTCTAATTTGAGAGAAATAAAGTTGCATTTGTGAGATATGTAGTTGCAATACCTAGAAATAAAGTTGTAAGTGTGAGACACATTTGTGAGATTTAAACACACAATTATGAGAAATAACGTCCCAAGTACCCCCTTTTTTTTTTTAACTCATGAAACGGGTTTCCTTAGATATCATTGGCAAAACAGTGCAAATGGGGATGACGTCAAATGGTGCACAAGCATCAATCTTATAGAATGTCTGTGCAGGTATTGAATCCAACTCTTGCAGCGCAGGAACATAGAGCAGTACCCGTATTGACCCGAATATAAGACGATGTTTTTTTCTTGGAAATACATCTGAAAAAACGCGGTCGTCTTATATTCAGGGTCTAGACTTTGACATGTCAATAATACACCCACAACAATAGGTGGCACCAAATACGCATAAAACGAGTGTGCCATGAAATACGTAATGTAATGCGTGTTGTAAAGATCGCGAGTAAAAACAAAAGAAAAAGAAAACCTTACAGCTGCATGAGTCGTGACTGTCCCGTTAGCCTGATGGGATCAAACTCCCGTTTTAAAAAGCCTTTTTCCAAAAGGTACATCTGGAAAAAGGGGGGTCGTCTTATATTCGGGCCAATACGGTATTTTAAAAATTGATTCTGTATTTAATTATTGTCTGTGACGTGACGATCGATGACCCTTCATCACACATCATGTATTTAACTTTCTGAGAGTAAATTCCCGCTCAGTCCACTGTTACGATAGATGTCTAATCTGCAGTTAATGAAACATAAAACCTCTTAAACTACAGCTTTTGTTGATTGAGCTGTCTGTGTTTAGAAGGGTGATGCAGTTGACTATACAGGGTGATGCAGTTGGCTGTATTGCATTTTCAATGCTTCTGTGACCAAAGTCAATATGCAGTAATTAAAAGTCATTCAATGAAGGCGGAGTGCATGATGGGTATTTACTTTATTCTAGGGAAGCTCCGCATAGACCGTATTTTATTACTTTCCCAGATAATGAGCAGACATGAGTCAGTGTCTAAAAAATATATATTAAAGTTATCACCTATTTGATGGCCTCTATATTAGCAAATTTTGAATATTTTCTTAGTGGTGATGGACATCTTGGCCCCCTGTCCCCGGCTTTTGTCTCCCTTAAAATTCATGTATGTCATCCATGTTTATGACTTAATGACCTTGTCACATTAACAGTCATTAAAGGATTTCCTTCATTTGCACTCAGTAATTCAAAGAGTCTTCATTTAGGAAGGGTTATATACGCATCATTCTGGGGTTTCTCAATCCTGCTCTAAGAACTGCACATTTTGCACGTCTCTCTTAGAATAGAGCTCCTAATCTGAGTGTGTCAGATTGCTGAGACATCTAAAATGAGGTAGTGAAGGTCACTGTAGGAGTGACTTTTGACAGAGAAAAATCTTTTTCTGCCAGCATTAGTTTAACGTGTTTCATGATTTTATAAGGTCCACATATTTGAGCTCAGTCTTTGTGGTAATATCCACCTTATTTTTAACGTAAGAGCGGGTGCCACCATTTGTAACTTGAATGTGTGGCTTCCAGTGTCATTCACTTGTGTCAAAAACAGTCCATTAGGCTGCTTGATATTGTATACTGGTATTTGGTATCATATTATTTTAATTCATTGTTGTAATCATAAACACACTGGTTTGGAGCACAAATAGTTTTACTGTTTACTGCACATTGTTATTCTTCTAGTTACTTATATTTTTATGTTATGAATCGGAAGTCTTGCACATTGACAGAAAATAGCTTACTGTAACTGTAACTGTACTATCAAATATGATAGTAGTAATACAGTAGTATACGTAGCCCACAAAACTACTCATCCAAACCACATCTCTGTTCAAATATAGTAAACAAATGCTTATTTTCTCTAATGTGAGTGGTATCATGTCAAATGTGATATGCTTGTTGATTTTTGACAAAAGGGTGGGGGTGTGTGAAGAAATTCAGAAGAAATAAACAATTTTGTCAGGGAACTGAAGAGGAAGGAAGCAACTGGGGAAACACGTAAGTATTGATGTGTGTCTGTTGTGTGTGTGCGTTGTGGATTTCAGTCTCTTTGTGAATGTTGGCACAGCTTTGTTTAGTGAAATTTTAGAGCACTTTTTTATGCTGCTTGACTGGATTGTGCATGCTTATGTGCATATGCTTATGGCTTTCATTAAATTTTGAGTCAATACAATAAATGGCAATTAAATATAAATATTTGAAATCGTAGTGTGAATCATCTGACGTAAATATGATGCAACTAAAAAAAACAAGAATGGCCTTAGATGCAGAGATAAAATATAGAAGCGTTATGAGCCGCATCACTGGAACAGTTTAGATCACGTCCTGTTTGTTCTCACCCTGATGAGACCTGATGTGACCACTTCCTCCACAAGTTACAGTCTGTATTCATGTATGTGAAAAGTGATCTTTGTAAACACTGCTATATAGATGTGTAGTGAAAGGGTAAAAAATGAACTGAGAAACCGTTAACTGACACACATACACTCACACACACACACAGAAAGACAGAGATCTGTCTTATCCTTTGAGATCTAGAATACACATGTAGAAGAATGACACCTTTGCTCTAGTCAAGTGAAGACTCTGACGAGTGGAATTTGTTGTAAAAGCAGGTTTGAGTGTGCATCTCAGTTCATATCTGTGTGTAAGCATATTAATTATGTTTGATGTCCCTCTGGACGCCCCCCTCCCCACCCCTCTTCAGCAGAAAAACCGCAGTTTGCCATCATGTTGCGTTAACTGGAATCACCTCCATGGAGTGAGACATGATCCTTCTCAAGATGTGTCACAGATTACAGTGTCATACTGTCTTGAGTGTTCGGTTTGTTTTTAATGTATTTTAAGGGGTCATATCATAATTGCTTATCATTTTTGTAAAAATGTGTAAAAAAAAAAAAAAAAAATAAATTACACAAT